TGGAAACAGTTTGATTCTGAATATTTGTTTTGCTTTAAAACTGACCACATCAAAAGAAAAAAGCTCACACAACTCTTCTTTTTATTTACGCTAACACAAGAGGAAAAAAATAAATGCAAAGATGTACAGAAAGGATATGTGTTACTGAAGGCTGAGTAACATCTACAGAGCACAAGTCATGCAGTGCAGAGGGTTGTCACCAGTTAAAGGTCTGCATGTACACATAAACTCTAGAGCATGAATTTATCTCTAGCCATATATATCCTAAACCCTTTAGGACTCTTCCCGTAAATGAAGGTTGCAAATAAATGCCTGTAACGTACTGGGCTTAGTCTGATCAGTGAAGCTGACTGTAGGTCAACTAGCAGTTAAAGCTGACTATTAGGTACCAGCAGAGCTCTGAACCTTAATCACATTTTCCAGTTATGCTGTAGGAAAGTGCAATGATCTAGTTAAGGTCAATCTAATGTTCTAGACTTAAATGCCACACCCATCACCCTGATAATCAAATCGAGTCAATGAGTCAACCCAGATGGGAATCCAGGTTCTTCTTGGCTTACTGTTATCTGCTCTGCCCATTAGGCTATATGACTTCCATAAATTATTTTGCAGTTGCCGTGAAAAGAAAATAAATCCACACGATGCTAAATACCGCTTCCCAGCTGTAGCATAAATTGGAATTTTGGAATACAACACTGCTCTCTGACTCATTCTGGATCCCCTCCATGTGATGCTGGATCCATCCATGCTGGAGAGAGAAGAACGTAAGTGATTTTTCTTTCCTTTTTCTTTTTTTTTTAATCACCCACTGTCAGATAACACGTGGATGTTCATGTGGTATGTCTCTAGGATGCAAAAAAATATCAATACAAGAAGGGGCCTTTCTGAATACACAAGGATAGAGAGAGGAGGATAAAAGGATTAAAGATTTATGCAGTGATAGTTTAAGCACTGACTCATTGTCACTGCTAAGTTTATAATAAATACCTGAAATCCAGTCAGAAATGTTGCGGGGGGGAGGAAGGGCATTACTTAGGTGCAGCACTATATAAAAGACAAAAATAGCACACCCAAGGAGTAAAAATTTGCTTCATGCATAGTTTAAACACAACCAGCACACTTCACATCTTACGGGCATGGCTTTACCCTGAGCTTCTCTATTGTTTGTTTGTAGCTAGAGAAAGTCCAAAAAGCAAGGAAAACAAACGCATCACATATTCACTGTGCGATTTATCAGTTTAACACTCATCATGCACCTTAAACATTTTCTACGGGTTAAAAAGACAATGGGCCAAATATAGCTCCTGGCTTTCTTGCAGACTGCCTTGCCAGGATAAAGCGGTAGGAAAGCCTGCTTAACCAGCATCGAAGGATTCCCTCATGTAGGAAACCTCAAAGCATATAGAGGTGGCTCAGTGGCCAATTCCAGCACAAGGGGTTGCAGCCAAAGAAATGCTGGTATGTGCTGGGAATTCACGGATACTCAGCTGATGAGCAGCCTCTGGGGAGCGACAGGTAACTCACGTGTCTACATTGCAGCGGTACACTTTGCGGAGACACCTGAGATTACAATTTCCGCACAATTTTGACAGCAAAATCAGGAACTAGAGACAAAAAAACAGGAATTCAAAAAGAATCCAAAAATATGTCATTATTTTGATAACTCTAAGCTGACAGCATGCTTACAGAGGAATTCATTGAATGCTTATGACCTTCTGCAAATTAAACGATAAAGACTGACTTGGTGGAGTATTCGCAACTCTACTTGTTCTGTGCTAGAGCATAGAAAGAGAAGATGAGCATACATCTCCATCGAGAACCGGCTGAAAAATAGAGACAGGTTTTGCTGGGAGTGATTCATTCTTTGGATCAGCCTTCTAATACTTTAGTGGTTACAATGCTGATTTATTTATTATTATTACTAAATCTCTGAGTAATAATGATGCAGTATCCCTGAGCACTTAAAGAGCTCTCTCTCGATGAGCAGCATTTATTTCTATTTAATATTCTAGTTTAATTAAAATAATTTTTCCTAGGGCCTTATTTCATTTAATTCAACTGCAAAATCCCAATCCACTTGCAAGGGTGCAGCGTAATTTGCATAATGAATATAGCGATAGCTACAGAGAAAACACCACCTCTTAGAAAAAACATTGAGAAGTAGTGTGAGAGCAGGGCTATTATGTACAGTGCTTGAGAAGCCTTTGCTGACGGTAAAACCTAGAACTGGAGAGAAGCAGGAGAAGGTTGGTTCTTTTGAGCGAAATCCAAAACAGGTATCACTCTTAAAGGGATCTGACTGTAGGTACCCACCAAACAAAAGCTGAGGGCAGGATTATAACTCAAAATTGTACCTTTCCGGGATTTATTCATCTTACTCAGTACTACTGGAAGGCAACTCCCTTTAGCTGAGATTATTGTCCTGAGAGCACCTTATGACAGTAGACATGCCAAGTCTTTCAACTGAAGTCACTCCTATCTTTTGAGCTGTGGCAGAGGGTACCGAAGAAGCTGCTACTTCCTTTTCTGGTTAAAGTATGCCATGGGTAGAGCACTCATACTGGTTGAGGGGAACTTGGGCTCAAATCTCTTCTGCCTGATTTGGAGTACATACCTCTTCCAACCTCTGTGCTTCACTATTTTATCCATTGCAATGTCTGCTCTATTCACGATACCCTGAGAATCCCTGTTGGACTGATCCAGCGAGAAGAGGGAAAGCAAATTTAGTTCCTGGATCTCCAGCTAGTCTGGATGTCCTAGCCAAGATAAAGTTCAAATAAAAGTGAAGGCAAGCTACTCAGACTGATCAAGGCTGAAATGTTTCTATTTATGAAGCATTGCAGAGCAGCACTTGTCTTGGAAACTTTAAGAAAAAGAGGTGTGACACCTGCAGAATCTGGGTATCAATTTTGGCAGTAGGATTGCAGTTATGGATTAAAATACCCAAATTCTACTTTAGAAAGGTACTTTGACAACCCAGCTGTCACTGATTTAGAAAAGACCTAGGCCCCTGCATACCTTGCAGGAGCCAATGAGTAGTTCTTTTCTGGATCAGGCCCATAATGAGCTAAAAAACCTAACTAAAAGTCAGTGATGCAAAAATGGATCAAATACTCTAATGAGGGCTTGAAGAACAAAATAAAAACGCTATTCCATATGGTAAATCATTTACTAAGAGTTAACAGTGAAATCCAGTCTCGTTACCTGTTGGCTAGATCTGCAAGTGAGTGCTAAAAAGGAAAAGTGACATGGTACAATTGCTGCAAAAGTTCTAGCCTGCATCTCAAATGACCAGCTTTCAGAGGCAAGGAGATGCAGGGCTTAGCTGCTGCCTTCTCAGCAGAGTGCTCTCTGGTGTATGGTCAGACCGCTCCATTGATCTCTATTGTTCTTGGACAAGTTTTCCCAGTTCAAATAAAAGCGAAGCATTTTCAAAGGAAACATAGGTGGCTGCTTGGTGATTCTTCAGGACCCAGTCACCAATTACCTCACGTGCTCAGGAACGTTTCTTTTCTAAAAAGCAGCAACTTTCACAGCGAAAGAAGGAGCTTTCACACTCTCTGTGCTGCTGCTCAAAGCGGGGGTTGTCAGTGAGAGCAGACTAACCATCTCCCTGCAGGGAGCACCCCAGGTGCTCTGCCACTACGAGTGGCAGGCACCTTCAACTCATGCTCATGGCCATGCTGGAGGAGTACGCGGAACGGAAGGATTTCTGCCCACTGGCCCGAGACGCCGCAACTCCAGGATGCGAGAGCTTTGCTCATGTTATGTCCACACCGTCCCTCCGGTCGCCCCGCGACGTCTATGCGGAGGAGAAGCGGCCGCAGCAGAGGTGCGGCGGGCAGCGGCGGGGGCGAAAGGACTTGTCGCCCGCTCGCCCCGCTCGCCC